AGGCCGGGAGGGTCCCATCTTCAATGCTGGGCAAATTTACCTGCTTGGTCTGCTAACAAGATAGCTTCCACTACCTCTCATTCTTTGGAACCTCTGAGTAAATAATATACCATTGTGCAAAATACAAAATATTTATATTTAATGTATTATATGTATTCTATATGAAATGAAATTCCATAATAGTTATGAATAAACAAAGAGTAAAACCACAATATTTTAAAGAAACTGATGAGTTTTGCTTTAAGCATATTTAACATGTTCTCTTTTAGGCCAGCAGATGTAGCTGTGAATTAACATAGGAAACACAAGCACTTTCATCAAGCTGCTCTAGGTCAGCCAATAGATGGCACCCTTTTTTTTTTGGAACTAGGTTTATATCAGAGATTTAATACCACCCAAGGTAGCTACCAACAATTCTTTGCCTTCAGTTGATTTTGATTTACCTGCATGTATCTACAATGATCATCAACCATTTGAGTGCATAGACTTGGACCATTTCTGTTCAACATTTTCTGACTAAGACTGTTTTCCTTAGTCATAAAAGATGACGTTTCTCAACCAGAGGCAGTATTTAGTGATAAAAGTTCATCACTGGACTCAGGGCAACCTCGTAATAACCATAGAAGCTTTCTAAATGCAGAGCTGAAATATACCATATTGCTCTCTGCAAGCTTCAGAGCAGGGTCATATCATAAGAATTTACTTGGAAAGTCAACAGGTAAGACTTAACAGTCTACTGGGGGGCCCTGTCTTAGCACACTGCCTGGCTCAGGGTAGGTCCGCCAGTGACCTTTGAATGAACAAACCAATAAATTAATAAACGCTACTGCCTTTAAAATATGTAACCTTAAAAAGGTTATCAGTGGGTTCATTTTTGTGTGAGACTTCTCAGACATGGAGATCAAACTGATATGCCTAAAGGTCTATGTATAGGGAGAGAGTACATTTGCATCCTCTCTTTTTAGTTAGACATAAAGATGCAATACAAAAGGATTCTACCTTTTTTTTTTTTTTTTTTTGAGACACAGTTCTCTCTGTTGCCCGAGCTGGAGTGCAGTTGACGTCATCATAGCTCACTGCAACCTCAAACTCCTGGGCTCAAGTGATCTTCCTGCCTCAGCCTCCCAAGAAGCTGGGACTACAGGCCACCTGGCTTATTTCTGTATTGTTTGTAGAGATGGGGGTCTCACTATGTTGCTTAGGTTGGTCTTGAACTCTTGGCCTCAAATGATCCTCCCGGCTCAGCCTCCCAAAGTGCTGGCATTACAGGTGTGAGCCACCACACCCAGCCAGATTCCACATATTCTTATGTTTAGTAGTGCCAATCAGAAAATATATTTTAATCCCCAAAATATTTTATTTAGGCAATAATCTTCTTATTAGTGCCATAAAACAAAGAAGTTCATGTTCTAGGAACTAAAAATAGCACAGTCTCACCCATAAAGCCCAAATTCTCAAGCATATAATTTAGATAACCTAATTTTTGTTGGTCTGTGAAAATTTAGATTGATTCATTCTTATGACTCTTCTAAATCAAGGGCTATTCATGTTTTCAAACACTTTAAAATTTTACTACTCAGTTTATGACTTCCATTACTAAGCACCGGAAACATCGCCTATCAATTCCACACAGTCCATGTAGGGTGCTAACAGATTGTCATTTTTATACAAACTAGAAGCTTAATAACTTTATTACTAAGTATTACTTAGTAACGTGAAGACTCAGACCTGGATTCAAATCTTAACTCTGCCAATTCCAAGCTATGTGATCTTGGGCAAGTGATTTAACCTTGTTGAGGCTCCATTTCCTCAGTTATAAAATGGGAGATATTGGTATCTGCTATGTTGTTGTTATTAAGATTATTTAATCTGCTCTGTCTAAAATGTCTAGTACAATGCCTGAAATGGAAGAAGAGATTTTATATTGGTCAAAAGCAAAACTGAGGTAACAGCAAAAATCATGAAAAATCTTCAGTGGTAAGTTTTCTGTCTTTTCCTAGTAATCCCGAATTTAGCATCACAAACGATGACTAACCAGCAAAGTTACTTTAAAAATAAAGGTTAGTCAGACTAGAAGAATAGCACACTCATTTGCCTATCGGTGTACTGTGAGTGAAAAGTACAATAATGCCTATGTTTAATTATGATTAAACTAAATATGAAAAGCTCAAAAATTCCTATGAGGGTTGTTCCAGCAATTCCTCCACTTGCCTCAGTTTCTCCCTCTCTACTGAATCACTCTCATCAGCACACACATGCCATTAATTCTCCCTACTTAAAAAAATGAGAACAAAAAAGCTCTCTTGACTCCACTCCTCCTTCCAGCTATGACCCCATTTCTTTCTTTCACTTTACAGCAAAGCTCAAGACTTGCCTAGACATACTGCCTCTGATTTCTCCCGTTTTCTTTTGAATCCACTCCACTCAGGGTCTTCCCCCCGTTTCACCAAAGACCGCCACATTGCTGAACTCAGTGAATTATCAGTCCTCATCTTATGTGACAACCACCAGCACACAGCATAGTCAATCTCTTCTCCTTGAAATGTTTTCTTCACCTGGTGTCCCAAGTCACCATTCAGGTTTTCCCCATCTCTTTAGTAGAAAAATCTCCTTTGCTACTTTCTCCTCATTCCCCAATCTCTAAACCTTAGGAGTAGCCAAGGGCTCCTTCCTCAGATCTCTCCTCTTTTCTTTCTACGCTCATTGGCTTGGTGAGCTAATCTGGTCTCCTGGCTTTAAATACTACCCATATACTGATGAGTTTCAAATTTTTATCTTCACCTTGTACCTCTCCCCTGAACTCTGAACTTCTATATCTAATGCTTACTTGACTCTCCACCCAGCTATCTAACAGATGTCTCAGAATCACAATTCCCAGACTGAGCTCCTGACATTATCCCCAATGCTGCTCCTCTCACACTGGTCCCCATCCATTCTCCAGCTGCTAATGCCAAAAGTCTTGGTGACATCCTTGACTTCACTTTTCCACACACTCCACATCCAATCTATAACAAATCCTTGGTGACTCTACCTTGGAAAAATATCCGGAATCTCTTTTCATCAACTCCACTGCTGCCACCTATTCCAAACTACTGTCAATTCTCACCTGTCACAAAGAGCCTGGTCAACAGAACTTCCTACCAGTTGTTTAAAAATAAGAATGCAATAATTCCTAATGTATACCTTTTTAGCCTGGGGAATAAACTGTATACACACACACATACACACAGACACACACACAGATATAAACACATATACACACACATACATAGGCTTTTAGGATTTTTTCCAATAATGTGTAAACAACATATTAATAATTTAAATAGTTAACTTTAAAATGCTTTAACTATTTTACAAGGATGTTTATATATATATGGATGTGAAATAGCATAGAAAGTTGTTGCACATTAATAATTTTATTGAACAAATAGCTAACGTCAATTTATATAGAATGAACATTAGCTATGAATTAATCATTGCTTAATTATATTTGAAGTTTCACCACCTTCAAAAATTTATTAGGCCATTAAATATAAAATGTCCAATTTCAAATCAAAAGTTTAGTTTATTATATCTCAAACAAGAAGCAGTACAATTAATCAAAGTATGTACCTAAACTATCGACACAGTTTTGCCATCTTAGTAGTAGCTTATTTATGCCAGCAGCGAAGAAGCCTAGAGAGCAAGTGGCGATGAAATCACAACAGGCATTTTCCACAGCTTGTTGAGAATTGAATATTTTTCCTTGCAAGAAGTTGTCCAAAGCCTGGAAGAAGTGGTGGTCAGTTGGTGCAAGGTCTGGTGAATATGGTAGATGACAGAGAGTTTCCAAATACAGACTCTGTAGTTTGAACAGCGTTGTTTGTGCAGCGTGTGGGCGGGCACTGTCTTGCAAGAGGATTGGCCTGTCTCTGTTGATCAATCTCGACTGCTTAATCGCAAGCATCCTTATGATTTCATCCAATTGGTTGCAGTAGACATCCACTGTAACTGACTGACCAGGTTTCATGAAGCTGTAGTGGACAATACCAGCGCTGGACCATCAGACACCATTAGTTTTTTGATGAATATTTGGTTTTGGACTGTGTTTTGGCACTTCACCTTTAACCAACCATTGTGCCTAACACTTGTGATTGTCAAAAAGAATCCATTTTTCATCATACATAACAATACAGTGTAGAAATGGTTCACCTTTATGTTATGACAGCAAAGAAAGGGAAGCTTCAAGATGATTTCTCTTCTGATGCTCGCTTAATTTAATTCATGTGGTGCCCATCTATCCAGCTTCTTTACCTTGACCATTTGTTCCAAATGATCCAATATTGTTGGAACAGTAATGCCAAACCTCGCTGTCAATTCACTTGTAGGTTGAGATAGATTCGCTTCCACTACAGCTTTCAGCTCATCATTATCCACCTTGGTCTCGGGTCACCTGTGTGGCTCATTTTCAAGATGAAAATCACCAGAACAGAACTTCTCAAATCACTGATGGACGCACTGTATGTTCATTAGCCACATCCCTCCCAAACACTTCACTGATATTTCAAGCAGTCTGCACTGCATTGGTTCCACAACGGAACTCATATTTGAAAATAACACACATTTTTGACTTATCCATGGTTTTAGAAAAATTGCTCTTAAAAAAACTTTGAAAGATAATCACAAGCCAAACCGTGCATTTGAAAGAATGTGGATGTACCTTCACAATAAAAATAAAACAGGAAGTTTCAAAGTGAAACGTCAGAGACACCAACTGTCAAACTTAGTACCTAAGGAAACTGGATATTTCATACTTAATAACCTAATAAAGTCATTATGTATAATTTACTAGTAATGAGAAGTTGCCTAGTTATTAGCAAGAATTTAGTCACATACTCTGTCATCACTTCCCAAGGCAGTGACCACACAACATATAAATTTGAAAACCAGGAAAATTTAGACTGCAGTGCAGAAAGTAGAACAAACATCCAGGTAGCAATTACAGGATTATAGTTACTTACACTGTGAACTCCTAAAGCTTTCCAGACTGCAAAGCTGATCACACCAACCCCACACCATGCGTAAAGCGAGCCCCAGCCCAGAGCTCGCAAGGCAAGGGAAGACCCACTCTCCGGTAAGGCAGCCGTGGCCATACTTCCCTGAAATGAAGACAGAAAGGTTTGGGTAAAAATAATCAAGTTTGGAAAGAATAAGTATTCTAGGAGTATCTCAAATTACTGTCTGTGTAAGCAACATATTAGGAAGCCCAACCAACCCGAGGTCAAATACCAGCTTTGCTACTTAATAACTGCATGCTTTCCCTGACTGATAAATATTTGAGTATGCAAAGCACTGTGCCTGTTAATTCTTCCAGGAAAACTCTAGAACATTCTGTCAAGATTTCTCTATCCCCTATTCATTGGCATTTTTATTAGAATGACCTTAAACTAGTTAGCTAATCTGATAAGAGACAGCAAATTTATAACATCCTGTCTTCCATCTGGAAATAAATTTCCATTTATTAGAATCCTTTTCTTTTCTAGAATAATTTTCTTTATATTGCTCAACCTATTTTTCTTAATACAGATTTTTCTTATGCATGCATGGTTTGCGATTGTGAATGTTGTCCATGGCACAGAAAGTCTGTTTATCTATAGCCCCATGCCCAGCACCATGACTAGATCTACAGGTACTCTGCATTCGCTGACTTACACTTTCTGTAGACATACCTTAGACCCAACCAGATGATCAAGAGATTTTTCTTTAGCCATTCTGTGACAAAAACAATACATTCTCTCATCTTATTCCTTTTCCCATGTTGCTGTAATTTTGGAGTGGTTCCCTAGGTACTACAGATTGCACATAAATGTGCTGATTTTAATTGGCCTGAATTTTCATCCAGAAGCATCAGCATTAACCGAATATTATTAAACCAGGGTCAGTTTAAGGGCTTTGGCCTAAATTTTATTTCAGAAAGATATATTAAAAATCCATTTTTTTCCCTAGGAAGAAGTTAGCCTGTATATATGTATATATATGTGTATATATATATTTACATCTATATATGCATAAATATATTTAAAGGTCTACATAAACCCACATTGGTTTTGCTAAATCGAGTAAAAAGATAACTATGTGTAAAAATAACCCTTATTGAAATAGCAATATTCACAATAAAATCTTAATTTTGCCTAACTTTTAATTTTTTTAAAAAAACAGGTACATGTCCATCAGTCTCATAAACTGTGAAATGAAATTATTATTAGTTATTATCTAGGTACGTCCAAAAATGAATTTTAGTGGAAACTTGATGTTAAAAATTGATCTGTCCTTATTAAGTTTTAAAAAGTCTAGTCACAAGCTTTGTCACAAGCTTTTTCCTTTGGGGGAGAGTGTCTCATGATGTTCATACACCCTGTTCAAAATTTTCAAAATGAACATTAGTTAACTTGCTGCAGGAAAAGACTGACTTGTCAAAAATAAAGATCTTTTGATCTTCAGAAATAGCCACACATGCTAGTCACATATATATGTGTGTGCATGTGTGTGTTTATATATATATACACATATATAAAATAAAAGCTACATTTTTCCTCACCACCACATTATGTTTTTTTTTTTAATTTAAAGTAAAATGAAGGCGTCTGTATATAGAAGTTGAATTTAACAAATCACTTTGTGATTAAAGTATTTAGTATCCCCATGAAAAAACAAAAAAATAATTCTCTAAATGAAAACTCTGTATTTATAATACCTCTTGTGCCTGAAGACATGGGTGCCCCTTATCTTCTAACACTTACCAGAACCTTTGAGAAAGCAGGTGACTAAAATTAATCATTCACACACGTAGAAACTATCAAGTGCAAATTGTTCAGTTTGTAAAAGGTCAACTACATACCTAACGAATGAGGTTCATATTTTTAGTCTTTCTTCAGTTTAATCCTGGGATGAATTTTACGTAAACTGAACATTTTTAAAAAGAATGTTCAATCTTGTTATCTCCCCTATAGAGCATTCTTATCCGATAACAATATTTTGATGTGTTTACATCACAGTAAAAGCTGGCTGTGTTTTTATAACATATGCAATATGTATTTTTAAAAGATGTATTTTTATAATTTCCCAGAAGTTGTAGCTACATCAGAAAGATGAATGACAACTTGCCTCTTTTATCTACTCATTACACAAATGAGTCTTGATATAACTCATAGTTACCTGATGAATTTTTGCCATGCCAATATTAAGATAAGCAGGGGCACTGAATTATTTTACTTTTTTTTAATTCACTCCACCAGGTAAATATTGAATTATTTTAGATAAGGAAACTTTATGTGTGTGTATACGTTAATTCGGTATTTTCTTCAGTGTTTTAGACAAACATAATATGCACATTTTCTCTCATAGCCCCTCATTTAATCTCAGTCATTTTATAAGACTATTGTTACACAAATGTGAAATATTCCAGTTAAAAAAAAAATCTTGATCTATTTAACTAGATCAACCAAGGAAGCTCTCAGAAGAGCAGCTAGCACATTGGTCAGCACACAAACATTACATACTCGCAAGGCAAGGTTGTTACCGTGTTAGAGAAGACCTCCAGGTGGCGACATTGAAGTACACTACCTAAGTGGTATTCTGAAACGAGTGAGTGCTAGCTCATATAAACTCACTAATTGTGTGCTCTAGAATCTGAGCTCTTCTACAAATCATTTTACCTCTAAAACAGAGTCCGGATAAGTGGTAATGCTCCAATTCAAATGTTTTCCCAGAGGGAAGCAGAACCTTACGTAACGTATTTAACCATCCAAACAGTGGTTCTCAAACTTTCTGGTCTCAGGATCCCCTTATCCTTGGATCCCAAAGATTTTCAATAATGTAGGTTATATTTATCAATATTTAATGTACTAGAAATTAAAATCAAGACATTCTTGAATTTTATTTATATATTGTAAAATAGTAAATCCATTATAGATTAATATAAACCCATTTTCATGAAAAATAACCTTATTTTCCCAAACAAAAAGAAATTAGTGCAACGAGAGGCAATGTTTTACATTTTTGTTAATCTTTTAAATGTCTAGCTTAATAAAAGATAGATGGATATTCATATCTGCTTCTGTATTCAACCTGTTGCAAGTTTTTTTTTTTTTGGTTAAAGTTTATGAATAAAATCTGGCCTTAGTCAGATATCTTTGGAAAGGGAGGAATATTTTAATATCTTTCCTTAATACACCAAAATGTGACACATAGCTTCTTACAGGTTAGTTGCAATATGGAATCTGAAGTCATGTCAGCGAATTTTTTTTGTAATTTGTTACATTAAAATCCAGTCGTCTATTTTGCACTTTGAATGGACATTTTATTCCATGTATCACACTCATTCAGAAGATACTGGCTTGCCAAATTATACAGATCTTTTTATAGTTGACATCTTTTATTAAACAATATAGAACAATCACATCATTAATCTCACCATAAAATCTCATCAGCAAAGCTGTTAAGTATCAAACAGCCATCAAGCTCATGATGGCACATAAAAGTTTTCTAAAATCTAATTTTCACTTGAAAGCTTGAATTTTGTCAGTGACAACAAATACAATTGCTTGCGTGAAATCAAGACAGGCTCATTCTGTGCATTTTTAAAGAAAATATCTGCCAAATACCCACTTTTAAATAACCATAGTTTGTCAGTTGTTCTTTCAAGTAAAAATGATACTCTGTGGGAAAAAAGCAGCAAGTTCAGCTTACAACTCAATCCTAGAATTGCTTTTCCTAGAGGAAAACCATCTTACTTCAGTATGAAGTAGAAGTGCTTTATGGATATTTCCCATTTCTTCACAGATTATTAAAAAAGAGATCATGATTTAATAAAATTAATACCTTTACTGCTTCAACAAGGACACTCTTATGTAATACTGGCTTTTTTTTCTTTTTTTTACTATGGGTACATTATAATGAAGAACAAAATGACTTCTAGTACAGTTTGGTGCCACTGCCTTCATTATGCCAAGGCACCAGCAGTTTTACCCTTCGCTGCCTCTATATCATCAGTGCAAGTATCTTAGTATCATTATGAAAAAAAAGTTCTGACTTTATAGATCCAAGGATAGAGGATCACCAGGGTTCTGTGGACCACAGTTTGAAAACCACTGTGTTAAACCATGAAGGGTGTATGTGATGGTCAAATCTCAGAACAACAAAAGAGAATGCAAAGTTATAAATATCTGTGTTTTTTTTTTTTTTCCTGAGAGAATCCCTAGTTTTCATCAGATTCTTAAAAAGACCCATAATCCAAGGGTTAACATGATAACTTCAGCTTACAAATCAACCAAACTCCACACTGTTAAAGCACTATTATCTGTCAGGTTTTACTGATTTCTGTCATAAAATATTAATATATTTCTGCTCTGAAAAATATTCTGGAATATAGGGAGAAATGACCCACAAGGTCCCTAGCAGTGATTTGGGTGGCTCCATATGAGTCCTGAGAGTATTTGGAGACCCAAATGCACTTTAAATGTTGTCTCTTGCCATTACAGTATTAATAAGGCTCAATTCTAATTATTAAAGATAAATGTAAGTGGAAATTCAACCGGTTTATATTTTTCACACAACACCTTTCCTCCATAGCACACATCAAATTATATAATTATTTGTGTGAATATTTGTCTGCCACACCAGATGCTAAGCTTCCTGAGGAGCAGATGTGTTGGTCATTTTCTTATCCCTTGCACCTAGCTAGTACAATGCCCGGCGTATAAAAGATCTGAAGTAAACATCTGTTGAAGCAATGCAATGAATAAATAAGCAAAATGGGTGGGAGGGCAATACAAGTAACATGCAGAAAGTTTCTCATCAACTAGGGAAATCAGATACACAACACCAGAGGACAACTGCTCAATATTGCTCATGGAGTAAGGATTTTCTGCCGTAAGTAGGTTATGGTCATTCAACCAAAATTTGCTGGGTACCTACTGTGAGCCAAGCACTTTTCTAGGGGGTGGCGCTGCACCGGTGAACAAGTATATATAGTCCCTGTGTTCAAGAAGCTGACGCGTTTTTCATCAGTACTAAGATGCATTTTATTTCAACATCTTTGAAATAGAGATGCGTCTTGCAATCAGTATTGTCTCAAGATTTTAACTGCCATCCTTTTTCTTTCTAAATGGTACATAAAATATCGGGGGCTCCTACAACTGATAGTGAATTACCTAGATTCAGATTTAAAGTGTTGTGAATAGGAAATGTACTGGATAAGCTTTCAAAGTCTTATTCTGCTAAAATTTTAGAAAGTACTTAATTAAGTACTTCTTTTTAAATGAAAATAAAGACTATCGATTAATTTGTACAACTATTGAATCCATAAGGTATATATAAGTTTACTTCTTAAAGTAATGTGAAAGGCCATCAACATTTACTTTCCCTATGGAAAAAGGTGCCATTTATTGTAAACAAGAACAATGCTATGAATGGATTTCAGTGTCACAAACCTTATTGAACCATTCAGGGCTTTTCTTTTTAGCCAATGATAATGTTGTGAGAAATCCAGCCAGCATTCCCGCTGCAGCAACAGTACCTAGGAAAATTCCACCTGCCAAGAGGTTGGGGAGGGATTTAAAAAAACAAAACAAAACATGAAGTTAAAAAGATGTACACAGGTAAGTCTCAGATACTATTCAAATTACAGTCAAAATCACTTTTGAAAGTGAAAAAACCATGGCTAAGCAGCTCTTGTCAACGGCAAATGATAGCGACTGTGAAACCTGCGTGACCTCACGACCTCTGGTTCCTGGGATCATTCTGAGGTATCGTCCCCCAAGTGCAGAAAGTGGGCGCAGGTTCCCTTCCCCTCTCCCCCAGGACAGCAGCGTGAAGTTTCTCCCGAGCAGGAAAATAGAGATAGTAGCAATTAGAAAAGGCAGGGCTCGAGAAAGACTGCAGAGGTGATGAGGAAATATGACATGCACCAGAGAATAGCTCGGGGGATCTGCCTCTCGCCCGGGGTGGAGGTGGGGAGACCCCACCCCGCAAGCGACTTACTGGGCCTGGGCTGCCTGGCCCCACGGGCTAAACTCAGGGACATGCCCAAGCTCAGGGCTCTCAGAGAGGTATGTGTGTCAGAATGCCCGCTGCGGCGCAGGTCAAGGCCCAGGTGAGCTCGCCCTCACACCCGCACCTCCACACACCGCACCTTTAACCAGGAAAAGCCGGTTGTCGGTGGACCCCGGAGCCTCCAGCCGAGGAGAGGACTCCCCAGTCCCAGCGCCCGCCGTCTCCATGTTTAAGTCCCCACTCCTGAGTCCGGCGCCAACTGGGCCCGTGTGGAAGCGAGAGCCAGGCAGAGAAGAAAGGTTCCGCTGCCACTTCCTTCTGTGCAACCTGAAGACGTGTTCGGGTACGGCTGCTGTCCCCAACCTCTCCTCCGCCACCGCGGAACGGGAAAGATGTGGTGGTTGCAAGCACTGTCCCCAGGCCAGTGCCGGGGGCGGTGTCCTCCAAGGCTGTCTACCCGGGAGGATCATTTGCTTTCTCCAAGGTGATCAGTGCTGGACTGTAATATTTGTCTATTTGAGAGTTAGCTCAGCCCTGACTCTAGGAGGCAGCGAGGGGTCGCAGATTGCTCCAGGAGCCCAGTGCCAGCCTGGCGTGAGACCCTGGAGCTCAGTTTCCAGCTCAGCCTTACTGCTATGTCCAAAGATTGGGCCAGCGCTAACATTCCACGATTTTCAAAAGCAGGCCTCAGTATTTTCTCTGTCCTTTTCTGGGAAATTTCGTAACAGTTGTCACTTTAGGTGTAAGTGACAGGCTTTATCCCTGGAAGAGACCCAGCCTTCCAGCTCTGTGGTGACCGGCCTCCATACCCCCAGTTTGATTGGTCCTAGGGCCGGGGAGTAGGTGGCTAACAAGATGACTGAATGAATGGTACAATCCAGCGAGGAGAACAGAGGCCCACTCCAAGGGCTTGCAGCCAGCAGGCCTGGCCTTCAGTCTGGGAGGCTGCTTGGCTCACAGGGATGGATTCTGTAAATAGCCATTAAGTCAAGGCTAGTGGTCATAGAAAATCTTTTCAGCTTCTCAAACAGAGATGCATGACATCATCTTTTAAAATGAGGCAGTCTAGCTCCCTCCCTTATACCTTGCCCATCACTCTAGGGCACGAGCTTCTTGAGGTTGGGGATGGGAATCTATATTCCTTTTTATATTCCCAGCTTTCAGGCATTACCTGGTCATGCACAATAAATGCATGTTGGATGAATGAGTAAATGAATGAATCAGTTTTTGCATCAGTTAAATGCAGTCAGTAGCTCAAACCTGGGTTCAGGTCCTAAACAACTTCTCAGCTGTGTGAACTTGGGGGTTATTTAGCCCCTCTATACCTCAGTATCCTCATCTGTAAAATAAACTGATAGTATCTACCCCACAGGATTGCTGTGAAAATTCAATAAAGCAATGTATATAAAGAAGTTAGCATAGTGCCTAGTACAAATACATACTCAATAAATGTAAGCTTTAGTTAGTATCACCTTTGATTCCAGCAGCTGTTTTGCAGCATTGCCTATGAAGATCTTGAAAATTATAGATGTCCAGTGTCTACGACTGGAGATTATGGGTCTGGACAACCAGGGCAGGGCAGAGTTTAAAAGCTCCACAGTGGTTCTGATGACCAAGCAGCATTGAGAACTACTGCTCTGTTCAAATTTCTATGCAGATGAGATCCCACAGAATGTATGCAACCTTTGGATTCCTTGAAAGCACAGTATCAGTATCTGAAAGGCCCCTTTAAGCTGACAAATGCCATGCTAACTAGTTGAAGGTCTTAAAGACTTATCCTTTTTCCTTCCCCTCATACACAATGGTGACCATAGCTGCTAACATTTATTGAGTGCTTTCTATATGTCTGGCATTGCACTAAGTGCTCCAAATACATTATCTCATTTAATCCTCTCCATAAACTCCAAAAGACTAACTTGCTCAAGCTCACAGAGCTGTTCAGTGACAGAGCCAGGATTTTAAAGCAGATCCTTCCTTATCCACTGTGCAAGTGGTCCTCAAGTGTGAGCTTGATAACTGGAATCCCCTGGAAGGGCTCATTGAACACATATTTCTGGGCTCATTTCCAGAGTCTTTGATTCAGTAGAGCCTGAGAACTTGTATATCTAAGTTCCCAAGCGATGCTGCTGTCGCTGGATCCATTTTGAGAATGTCTTCTCTGTGCCTTACTCTTACAGATTATATCTCTTAAAATCCACACCATCCGCTTGAACACCTGGAAATCTGTTTTCCCAAGACAGTTAAGGGGGCAAAATACGGGCTCCTCCATTCTCTCCCTTGCTGTCTCCCTCCAAAAAAGTACCAAAATGTTATAAGGATTATATTACTATTCACTGTAAGGAGCAGAAGGGAGATGATAATTTTTAAATCTAGGGAAGTTATGGAATCCTGTACTCCAGAGCCTATCTCCATTTCCCGAGTAACTGGCGACCCCGTGGGACTCCTGTCTGCTTGTATCCTGGATGATGCAGCTCACAAACCTCTACCTGCATTCTGATTCCCCAAAGTAAAAGACAGTTTTCCTTTTTTTCTACTTGAAACCTCTTTTTCCACATATACATAGATCTGAAAAGGCAATTGAAGCAAACCAGTGGTTACTCTTTAGCCTGAGGTGAGCAATTTGCATTTTGATGATCCTTGTGGGATACATGCTGAGGAGAGAGGGGAAACAGAGGTCCTTGGACAAGGTATGTTTGTGGGGGGTATTGCAACCCCATTCCTCACTAGCCACAGGCATCTGCCCTGTGGCTTGCCCTGTGCTAGGTCCTAGAGATGGTGTTTCCAGAGCCTTGGGAGCCTATGCGGGTTGTCCCTGGCCCTGAGATTAGGGCCACATTCCAAGCATCCCAAGTTGGAACACTGGAAGAAAACAGTCTTTAAAGACGATCTTACCCCAGGTCTCATATTTCTACAATGCACACAGTTAGGTATTATACTTTGGGTGCAATATGATTAACTGACCCACCCTACAAATGCTCAAATCCCACCTAGACTTGTTTCTGTGGGAAGGCATGGTACAAGCTCCAAACAGGTGACTTGCAAATGTATAGAGCACAATTTCTTTGCAAGACAGGGACTTTAGTTCTAAAACAGCAAGACAGAGCATTTCCAAGTGTGGAAACTGGAGATTAGAAAGTTGCAGAGCTTCAGTGCTTCATACAATGCCAGCAGGACTGTCCTGTCAATGGAAGCATGATCCCCTTTTAGGAAAATGCAATAGAAATCTCTCACAAGCAAAGGAGGCTGCTGGGAAAGCAAGTTTATCAGAGACAGATGCTGTTGCTATTTTGGTGTTGGTTTGAGTCAGCTGAAAGTCCATACCAACGACACATCTGATCACATTCTTATTTCAAACTTTCTGGCTGCTGTAGATTCTATATCAAATTTTAACAGCTAGAAACCTGTTAGCATTATAGTTCCTAGAATGTGGACAGCCTTAGGTTTAGCCAGTTTCAAATACTGATGGATCTTTTTTCTCATTAATTTTTAAAACATTTCTTTGGAGCATCAGTCTCTCCATGTTTAAAGTATGAGGCTGAATTATTTTTAAAATCTGTTAAGGGTCATATATTGGTCAAATCATTCTCACTGCTGCTTATTATGAGATAGTTGTCAAAAATATAGTGCAGAGATCTTTAAAAGTTATTGTCTAAGTGTGCACATAGAAGAGAAGATGGGCTGGACTTCACGCTGTTACGCACAGAGGTTACCTGGAGGAGGCGGAAGGTGAATTTTCTATTTGTATTTCTTCTGCTTTCTGCATTAATAAGTAGAATGCTGACCAAAGCAACATTTTTTACATATTTCCATAATGTTTAGAAAATTTTGAACAAGAGACATATATTACTTTTGTGAAAAGGAAGGAAAACAATACAATACTTAAAAAATACATCACCCTCTTTAAAAGATGGATTTTTGTGTTTAAATAGAAATATTATGTAGATTTCCAAGGTAACTCATCAAACCGTCCAGCAGGATACAGGGTGACAATGTTCTTGGAAAGCGGGGAAACAGGGCGGGGAGCGTGTCCGACAGAGGCACTGTGGCGGCCTGAGAGCGCACGGAGCGTTTGCCTCCCTCCGTTTGCCTCCTGAATCCTTCCCAACGTCTGCTCGGGTTTCCCAGAGCCACAGCTACTCTGAAGTGCGCTACGACAATCGATACTGTGTGATATAAATGGTAAGCATGGTAATAATTCCTCTTGAGTGAGCTGAAACTAGACTTCCAAAGCTCGAGCCTCATTACTCACTTCCGGTATGTCATTACTTATCTTTCAGCAGTGCGTTCTGTCACTGCCCCGGGTTGAATAATAGGTCTGTCTTTATCACAGCAAATGAAAGCTGCCATCATAGATTCCTCCTTTCAATTTTTCTTTATGGTAGAGTGTGTCTTTCTATCTTTTTCTATGCTATTAGTTGAATTGTTACTGTTAATGATAGACCAGAAATCTTTTTGAAAGCTGTTATATTTCATAAGCTACTAGATATTTTCTTATAAAAGAGTGATGCATATAATTTCCTTTAACGTACGTTCCTCTATCTTCTTGTGAGGATCAAATACGATCACATGTGTTCAAGCATTTTGTAAACTGTCAAGTATTCTGGCAATATAAAGCTTTATTATTTTTAGTCCTATGTGCATCCCAGTTATAGAAAAACCTTTTAAACATTCCCCAAAGTAAAATATATTTCCATCTATGCATTATGATTTTGCCAGTATTTCATCTACAAGGACATGTGTTACGCTCATATTTACTATTAAAATCTGTGATATCAACCACTCGTGTCATTAAATGCATATTATGTTTATTGTATTTATTTTTATTATCCTCTCCTATTCTGATGTATTAAAGGTTACAAACTATAAAATGATTTAAAAACAGGTTCTATCACATGTATGATGAAGAGTGACTACATAAAGTACTAAAACCTTTCTTGATCAAATACTGTGTTTAGATTGACTTTATTTTTCATTCGCACAGCAAGTATTCACTGAGCACCTACTATGGTCTTAGGTGCTAGATTTGCTCTGGTAAAGAGGCACAGTCCTTGGCTCATTGGAGCTTATAGTTCCATGACCCTTAATTTTCTAAGTAAGTGAGAATTTCACCAAAACATCTTTTTGTCTCAACTTTTGTGGTTGGTATCCTTTCTAATTAATTCTACTTTCTGCCTTAACAGGTAAAATATGGTTTACTACAAAATTTGTAGTGCTTCAAGTCAATCCTCTGAATATCAACTATTATTGTACATGTGGATATAGAGGGCCGAGGAGATTGGTCTGCACAGATCCTGAACTTGGACTGTCCCGTCTTGGGATTCAGAGGGGACATGTGGGAAGCGGCTAGT